AAACATGCTCAGCGAACGCAGACGGGGGCAATTCTGGTGGCTTTAGCAGAGGCGCGTGCATCCATTTGTCACTAAATCACTAATAATCTCTCATTTATGTGAGTTTATCTCCAGCTTATTATCTCAATAATATCCACATGACTGTAATGATAAGTAACGTGGAGATGGAGTTCCATAACGTTAATACTGATGAATACTTGATGAGTGAGCTGCCCATAACATCTTGTAAAAAGTTGCATATTTTCTGTGCAGTTGATTTAACTTCTAAAAACCTAAACTCCTTCAAATCAGGCCGGACATTTTATCAAAGCAAAAGTCCAAACTCCTCCTTCCAGAGTCAAAACTATTTTTCTATCATGTTAAGAACATTATTACAGTGATTTTTCTGTTTGTGCCATTTTTGACTTGCAATCATGTTTATAAATATTTTGCAGTTGTGGCTCATGCGCATGGAAGCATATTCACATAGTCAAGTAACACCACAAAATGATCCATCAGACCAACAAATTAAACAAGTTATTGAAAATATTTACATACAAATAGTTCACATATGTGAGGTTGTTTCTTTAATGTCTGGAGCCAAGTGCAGCACGGCTCCAGTTTGCAAACCAGTACCAGCCCCTCATCGGCAACGGTCAAGACGAACCCATTGGTTTCCTGCAATTACCAAATAAAGGTATTCTGCAGCTAGACTTGTTTATGTTCATTGGACTTTAAATACATAAATAAGTGAGTAATGTATTAATTATCCTTTAATAATTACTATAACCAGTTGTGCTGATATTCCAGCAACTGGGGAAATATATATATATCTATATATATATATATATAGATATACATATCGGCCATAAGTTCATTCTACCATTGACAGGAGAAGAGAGGAGCTCACTGGTCCTTACTGAAACTCTCCCTGACTCTACCTGTTCAATCTGTAGTCCTCCTGCTAATAACTGATTCAGCCACCCTTCCATGTTGTGTCCAGCTGCACCTGGTTGCACCTGGTTTGTGCCAACACATGTGGTCACCAAAATTACAAAAATTTGCTAGTCACACCCATTTGTGTTTGTGCCTAGAGGATTTGAATGTGATTTTGCGGCTCGTTTCAGGAAAATAGAGCCCTTAAAGTTCTGGACAAGAACAACTTCTTTCATGGGCTTAAGTAGAATATATACTATAATGCAAACAATTTACATAAGCTTTCACTCAATACTGTTACTTGTGTTGCTCATGTACTTACATAAAGCAAAAGCTTTAAAGAAAATTTTATTTATAGATTAGACTAGAGCATAGCACTCTAATGAATTATTCTTGTATCAGCAAATTGTAAAAAAAAAAGATCTAAAAGATGTTTGTGTTGGACTGGTGTGACCATCCAGTGCTTGCAGCAAAGGTCTTGTGTCTTTCTCAAGTTCTTCTGAGCTTCAAGTGGCAGCCCATTGCCAAGCAAAGCATAACCTCATTGTATGAAAATAGAGTTCATCTCTTATTAAGCAATCTATATCTATTGCTGCCAAAAACTGGCTTTAAGTTAGATTGTGTTAACTGTAAAGGCCGTGTAATGTGTTCTGACACTGAAATACACGAAAACTGGATGTTACCTTGACTTAAGAGGAATTCCTCAGGCTTGGCAGTTGAGTGCAACAAAGAATGTAGGAGAAGTTAGTTACATACCATGGGGACTGAAACTCATGCTTTCATGTTCGTAATGGTAGAAACTCATGTACTTATGTTTGTAATGGTATTTGCAGGCAGGCATGTTTCTTCAGCAACTCAAATAGTAACTGTTGTCTTCACTAATATACAATTATCACTCTGTCTTTTAAATTGTAACATAAGACTTCTCTTCATGATCTATACCAGAGTACCTTACGTGGCCCAAAACATTTAACAGTATATTTCCTGCCTATAAGCACCAACATATTACGACCATATGTGCAGTAAAAAGGAAGAGGCATGCCAAATGTTTGAGATCAATTATCACAAAGCTGCAATCCTCCACTGCGTTCTCATTGAGCAACACCCTGAGCCTGGGAAATCGCAACAGGCTGTCTGAAAATTAAGAGGTGTTGCAAACAGAGGAGGGTGATGGAAAGTGCAGAAAGGTTGATAGATAATATGAGCATGCAATAAGTCTCTGGTGATATTAATGTGATAAATGCTTTTGTGGCTGATTTGATCTTCTCTCCTGATGAGATATGTGGAGCTAACCATGCTGCTCGCTGCGAACGTGCGTGTGTTCCTGTGAACTGGCAGGCTCTGTTGTGGAGAAAACAATACCATATGTCTCAGCGCCACTCTGGAGCGTTCCTCTGCCATTCCTGTCTCCAAATAAAAACCAATAGTGGCTACCCATGGTTTCCATTAACGATTACACTGAGGAGAGCGCTCATGTGTGAGAGCGAGAGAACTAAGACTACAAGCCTTCAACTAATGAAAGAAATACAGGAGTGAAAAGGAAAAGCTTGGCAAACAAACAATAGGCAACACGAGCCAACAGCAAAACTACAGTGCTGTTCCATCAAGAGTCATAAAACATTTGATCCAGATCAAGCCTTTCAAGCAGAGATGCAACTTAGCCCTCCACCCCTAACCCCCAAAAAGAAATATATACATTTGGCCACAAAGTCAACACAGCAAACTCTGCACATACGTCTCACTTGGAATACTAGTGTCCCTTGGTAAAATAAAATTTGGCCTGATTTCAATGTTCATATTTCATGTCATTTTAGAGCCATGATGATTCCTGCCTGCTGCTGATTGACAAGGAGTACCGCAGAGAACATGTTTTACAACAAAAGTCTGGATTCTGGCATTTTAAAAGGACGGCAGAGTCCAGTGGCCAACAGCAACAGTGTGCTCAGCGTCTCTGAAGCTTTTCCAGGCAGCCCATCTGTGTCCACGGAGCCCAGAGTACTGGGACCAGGAAACAAGGACTGGCAGGCCTGATTCAGGGTCCAATTAGTCCCAGGAAACAGCCTCTCCAGTGGAAAGGCAGTGTGAGGGAGGTCTGGAAGTGGGTTTCTGTTCTGAAGTGTTAAGTCCAAAACCAGTTCCTCTTGACTCTGTTACTGTAGGCTCTCACCACAGCAACTTCTTCACCTGAGAGGCACGGATCAGAAAGTGTGGGAATTGGATAAGGTCACTAATGCACCAAGATTTTTGCATTTTCTTTGGTCGTGGTACATACGTACTTTTTTAAGTTAAACATTTAAAGGTCCAGTGTGTAACATTTAGGAGACTTTATTGGCAGAAATGGAACATAATATTCATAAGTATGTTTTCATTAGTGTATAATCTCCTGAGAATTGCTTTGATTTTTTTATATTACAGTGAGCTGTCTGCATCTACAGACGCCAAAGGTCGCCTTCTTTAGAATCTGCGATGTTGAACTTCCATGTTTCTACAGTACCCAGACATTTTTTGCATGTTTCATGACCACAGTAGTTTCTCCTTCATGCTTGGAAGGGAACGGTAAAGCGATGAAGTTGCCACTTGCAACAACACCACTAGATACCACTACGTAAATCCTACCTAAATCCCTCCCCAATCAACTGTCCAATCATAGTTTAGCAACAGCATATTGATTGGAAAACAGTTTGTTTAAACATAAGCTTAAATTATTATCATGTCCAGATAACTAGCTTACTACCTACAGTAATACCTAAGCATTACTTCCTAGCCTAAGAGGCACATCATTAACTATAAACATGGAGGTTACAGGTTATATTTATAAAACCCACAACCAGCACATCCACTGTGTAGTATTTAACCCCCACAGGGAAGCCGGTCCTGGATATTAACAAAGGTTGGAGACGTTAGCAGCTCTGTCCTACTACTTATTGGATATAGGTAAGTTTACACTGCAGCAACCCCAGCCAAACCACAATAGCATTACATCTGGCAAACACGTTGGTATATTTAAGACCCCTTTTACATGGTTCCCTTTTTTAAAACAAGACAGGTGGAAACACAAAAAATCACCCAGAGATGCTGTTTCCAACCAACTCATGGCGCAGATGTTAGCTTAATTAGCTAGCTAGCTAGCTATAGCTATTCAATCTGCCAGCAACAGTTGTCATTTCAGCTAACCAATGAGAAATGAGTAGCATGCCTTTGCCTACCTCTGTCTGAAACCAAGGACCCACTATTTAAAAAGTTACTATGAATTTCAATTAGTAAATACTGTATGTTGCCATTATTGTAAACTGCGTATGAAGTTTGACAGGCGTAGCAACAGTAGCTAAACGGCTTAGTCAACAATCAATTGCAATCATGGATGAATAAAGAGAACTGGATACAGCATTGGAGGCGGCACGCCGTTTATTCTTATGGATGCTGCTCAGTGGTGCATAGAGCAAAAAAAGCCACATCGCAATCATCCTGGAGGCTTGACTGCGATTCATTATCGATGAAGAGAGTGAATCTTAACAGTGAGGAGAAGGCTGGTGATTGTTCTTCCAGCAGGATAATGTGTGCTATGTGAGTTTTGTGGCATGTTAAGGAGATGTCACTGTGGAGAGAACCTGAGAAGAGGAGCTCTGGGACTCCTCTGGGTTACAGCAATATGCAGTTGGGCTGGTGGATAAGATACTAACAGCTTGCACTGCCACAGGGCTCAGTGCTGTCACTCAAACACAAAATACTTAACACCTTATTCAGGAGGGGGGGCCCTACAGTCAGTCAAAGCTTTGTCTGACGGCAGAGGCCTCTTTCTTCGCTATTAAGATTCCTTTTATCTCTCCTCACCCCACTTGAAAAACTGCAATTATGTGTCACACAAGTAACATACTGAAAGGCTAACAGAGAAAGCTAATGTCTCAGTTTTGTCTAAGAAAATTATATATTTGCTCCAGTCAGATAAATAATTGAGCATGTGTAGCTACTGTAAATTAATCTGACATATTCATCTAATACAGAGATGTATCTTATCATTTAAGAAGTATATTCAGAGCAGCCTCTTTTTTCATGTGAGATTAAAAAGAAGGGAAAACTCCTTCCTCTGTAATAGCACTGATGTCCAACATCATTAGACACACAGCAACAGCTCTGCCTGGACTGTAGTTAATGATGGTTGTCAGCTGCTTTCTGTCTGCCACCACTGACAAGGGGAGACGTTCACTGTGATGCTGACCTGCTGGTCTCTACAGAAACACCAGTCTCACTGGCCACACATTATCACAGCTTAGGAAAACACAAGCAGGCCAGATGCACATCCATCTGCATGAAATGTACCAAGTGTCTTTTGACATGAGAACATTTCCATTACTGCAGGAAATAATAATTAAGAGAAATATTTGTTCCACTCGGGCCTCATGTGTCCATGTTGTGTAAACTATGAGTCTACTCACGCATGAGGAAATTCTGAAAAGATTTTTGGTGTGTTCCTGTTCACCTCACATATTGGTTATTCAATTTAGCAGGGTCCTCAAAAAGATTTTACTTAGAACATCCGATTTGAGAGAAAGAAATATTTATTTGGATGAAAGTCGAGAAGAAAACAACCCTATCCTTTTATTATGCAGCCTTTTTTAAGTGTACAGTAATCACCCCAAATGCAGAGGTGATGATTTATGAACATGTCTGCTTGATGAAGGTCATGTCAGATAAGCCTGAAAAAGTTTAATATGGTCTAGAAGACACATATTCTAAATGTCAAGGGAACACAGGGCCCTTTATATAACATGTGTGTGCCTGTGTATGAGCCTGTGCATAACGCAGGGATTTTGCAGTTTTTTTCTCCGTGTCACATTGGCTTTCACGGCAGGATGTTTTGCTCATGAGATGTAAGCAAGGAAACACCCAACCACATATGGAAAAAATTTGTGTACCTGATACTGCATTCTTGCAGAATGCTGTGGTGTTAACACACAATTGAAAATGATTACTTCTGGGAAGCCAAAAATACAATAAAGCCTTCAGAGCATATGAAGGCAAAAAAAAGAGTTTTCATCGCAATATAGTATAGTTAAGCCATGGCTGAGGCTTCTGGGTCTCATTTTACAAAGATTTTTCTCAGGCTTTAAACAAGGGCACTGAAGCAGTCCATTTTTACATTTTTTATTAAGTTTCCCAGTGAGGCCCCATGGTACCTTTACTAAATATGGCTGGCTCTCCAGGGGACCAGGCTTCAAATACATTGAGATGTCCCTCACCAAAACTTCCTCCCCATGTACCCTGGTCCTAACACAGCCTTCTGCTGAATCATTTTGATATTTCAATGTAACTTTTAAAAGAAGAAAAACATTGAACTCAGACAATAAAACAAAAAATTCAAAATTCTAAAGTTTTGCTGCTATAGCCTTGGGTATGACCAGTAGCTTATGCTGGCTAATGTTAGCAAACATAAAATGGAGGCTGTGTTACTGACCTTAATGAGTCAGATTGCTTATTTTTTGGTTATTCTCTACTTGTCCTCCTGTTATAACTACCACTCCTGCAAAAGCTACATAGTCT